GCCGGACAATTACGAGGCGTTGCTCAGCGAGCCCCACGGCCGCGATCGCGCCTACAATTAAAATCTCCGGGGAGGGCCAACTCCCTCTTGTATACGCGTGTGTCCATTTTTAAATTTACAAGCGCGCAACATGATGGGTCTTCTGTCGGGGTGGGTGTTTCCAAACTGCAGTCAAGTGAGCCAGGCAGGCCTATTGAAAGACGATTTGAGCTGAGACAGTAAAGCGGTTCAATTGCACTTCTCTCACAGGAGAGAACGATAGAAAACAGAAAGGGAAATATCCAAAAGAAAATGCCACTCACGGTCAGCGGGACCGTACTTATAATCCGGTGGCTAAACACACCCAGAGTGTACGAGAGGGTTCCTCGACGGGCGGCGGCAGCTGCACATCGTCGAGTACACTTATGCAATCCTTCCAGAGGGATCTGGCAGGTGGTCGATGCTTGCACTCCAATAAGGCCCTCCACTATGCATGAGCTTTTAGTGGCAACCACCCACGCGTGTAGACAGACTCTTTGATCCCTCAAGCACCATCTTCTCTCCCTCCGACCTTTTTCAAAAAGAGTCTCTGCTACACTTGCTCCTCTCCCGCTGCCCTTCCTCAGTCCCGTCACCCGCTGCCCTTGCTGCCCCGAACCTCGCAATGTTGAACACACCCTCTTATTTTGCGTAGTAGAGATGCAAGTTGCTGCAGGGGAAATGCACCTCGGTTTTTTACTCTTCTTTAAACCGTTTATTTCGATATACGAGAAGTTAATGTAGTTCTGCTAGGAATGATGATGTAAGTTATTGCAGGAGACATATCGGTTTGTGAAGGTTGCCGTTGCAATGCTCCAGAAGGCAAACGCGCGTTCAAAGGGAACGAGCAGCACCATGACCGCCATGGCAATGAACCTAAAGCTCGCCGTCAGGAATGGTCGCTCACGTCAGGAATGGTCGCTCACGTTTGGGCGGGGAATAAGATTGGTATGACCAGGCAAGTTAGCCAACGGGCTTGGAATGGCATGGCTGGCAAAGGGGCAGTACATGTTGTGCCCCATTTTTGTGGTGTAAGAGGCGAGCTGTCATGGCTGGCAGAGGGGCAGTACACGTTGTTCGTACACAAGCTTGACGGCGAGATGAATTGGCGTGAGAAAGAGAGAGAGAGAGGGTTTGAGAGAGAGGGTTTGAGAGAGAGAGTTTGAGAGAAAGAGAGTTTGAGAGAGAGAGTTAGAGAGCGAGAGTTTGAGAGAGAGAGTTTGAGAGAGAGAGTTTGAGAGAGAGAGAGTTTGAGAGAGAGAGATTGAGAGAGAGAGTTTGAGAGAGAGAGAGTTTGAGAGAGAGAGTTTGAGAGAGTTTGAGAGAGAGAGTTTGAGAGAGAGAGAGAGTTTGAGAGATACATAAAAAGAGAGAGACTGGGACGAATTACACTCTCGATGGGTGTGGTTGGTGCGCAGAAGAAAGAAATACACGGGGGCTCGATCGGCCGAGCCAATAGATTTGGCAGGTACGTTGGGCGTGGCGATCCGATTGACCGGCGCAAACCGTCCTTACCACCCATGAGCCCGGTCCAGGACGTGCGGATGGAATTTGCTTTTCTCGCTGTTGCTGAAAAATAA